CAAGGTTAAAAAAAATAATCAGAATCTTATATCAAATAAGAAAAACACTATAAAATTTAAAATTAAACTAAGATTTTTAAAAATAAAAGAAAAATAACAAGACTAAATAAAAAATTATCTTATGAGCCTACTTTGAAGGTTTCATCAAACTAGGATGGTTATAACAAACCAATCCTTTAAAGAACTGAGATAATAAAACCTATTAATTCAATTTGAGCTTGATTTGATTTCATGATCGAATCAAAAGTTATAAATTTTTCTATTTAACCAATTATTTTATGTGATTAAGCATCTTTTTAGGCTTAGCTCTTTATTACTGATTTATAAATGAGTCTAATAGGCTTTTTATATGTTTTATTTATAGTAGATCCATCATTGACTATTAAGAATTATTAGATTATTCATACCCTCATATGTCATATGGTTAACGAAAACAACAAAAACTTTACACTTCTTCTAAGCTTAGAAACTATCCAACTAATTATGTTATGATTGATAGATAAGATACGACAAAAGGTAATAAGATATAACAAATTGTGATATGTTCAATGCATATTTTAAATAAGATAAGTATCCAATAACACATCTTATCATTTTTTTAAAATCAAAATAACTATTCATTTGATTTAATTTGGACACTGAACCATTAATCTTGGTTTCCTTTTTCCATGCCTAAGTATTTTATGGTTCTCAAATACTAATTAAGTGATGTTTGGTATCCAGAAATGGAATGGTGAGAATGAGAATGAAAATTTTATTCCCACTTTATTAGTGTTTAATTAAAGAAATATAAATATAAATATAAATATAAATATAAAAATAAATATAAATATAAATGAAGAGTGAGTGTGAGAATGAAAATTAAACATATTCTTAATTTCGTGAGAGGAGGTGGAAATAAAAATAAGAAACAAGAACATTTTTCTTAAATGATATATTATTTTTATTTGTTACATATCAACTATTTTTATCACTATCATCACCTTAACTATTTCTACCACTATTACTATCTCATTTACTATTGTTGCTTGCTACTATTAATACATTTTCTCTTTTATTAAGAAGAGTTATTATTATTAATATTGTATCACCATCAACATCATCACCATCTATATTAAAATTACCCTTTACTTTTCTTCCACCACCACCACTACCACCACTATATTTTTCTTTTCAATGCCATCTTTTTTAGCAATGAAATTTGTTTTTTTAAAATATATTATTGTTATTAATATACCTTTATTACTACCACTATATAGAGATATACTATATTTCTCCTTTTTCTTCATCGCCACAACCACTAAAATCACAGCTATTATTTTTAATATCATCATTGTTGATGAAATTATTATTTTAATCATCATTTTTATTTTAAAAGTGAGATATTAAAAAATATTATTTAGATTTTTTTATTACTATTCCAAATACAATATTAAAATAAAAAAGAAAAGTTGATTATTTAATATCTTGATTCTTCTATTTCTATTTAAATCTTTCATTCTTTATAATTAAATGACACTAAACTTAATGCCCATGATATTTACTTTTTAAAATGTTGTCCCAATCCCGTTGAATTTATGTTAATATGTTTGTCACCTCATTGCTTCTTCATTTAAGCCTTTAAAAATATCTTATTCGACCATTCCCTTTTAAGATTTGATTACATCACAAAAAAAAACATAATTTCTATAGGTTTATAAAGCTTGAAGTGTAAAAAATTGTTATTTTTTAATTCGATTTATAGAAATATTTTTGAACTAATTTACAAATTAGTCAAGATCAAATTCTCTATTTAGATGACTTTAAAAACGTTCATCTTATATTGTCTTAGTGTATTTATGAAAATTTAATAAAATTCCTCTGGATGCTAACTCCAAGGCTTGAAGTTCAAATACAAAAAGTTAAAAAAAAGAAGAAGAAGAGAGTAAACTTTCTTGACCACTAAACCAATTTTTTAAATTCCATAAGTCTCACATATTACATCTTATAACTGGTGACATATGTACATTATGAGGTATGTTTGAATTGATATGGCGTGCTTTAACAAATGAGATGGTCAGATTCACTCCACCTTTTCATAAGATGTACCTAGATGAACCTCATCTTTCTATAGACTTGTCTATTTCAATTTCTCTTGGATAGACATAAATACCATTTGTTTAAGGAATTAGCCACGCATTCCCCAAATTGACTTTGTTTCCCTCTATAGTGCATAAACCTTGTATCCCTCTTCTTGATTGATCGACCTCGTGTCCCATTCCTTAACAGATCGACCACATACTTTCTCTTCTTGAGCTAATACCTTGAATATAGCTACTACATCCTAGGTAAATTACCCTTCTAATCAAACTTGGTTGACTCAACACTAACCATGGAGATAAAAGATGCATGCATTAAATGCTAACATGTTTTTCTACGTAATAGAGTCTAGATGATGGCATTATGATATGCCTTTACCTGGGAATAAACATTACGATATCATCCTCTCCACTTAATAGTGAACTACCTGTTAGATATAACATTATAGCCAATTAATTGATTATTCATGAAATTGACTTTATTTATCTAAAATCATATTTATTATTAATAAAAGTTGTTTCTTTTATCTTGAATTTTAATTTACGTTTGACTAATGAATCTATAATAAAGATAAAGTCATTGGAAAAAAAAATGCTTTGCAAAAAAAATATTTATAAAATGATTATAATTATAAGATTCTTATTGCATCAAAGCTTTTTTTTTTTAAATGCTTTTGGTCACTATTCAGTTAAGACTTGATATTAATTATAGTTTTAAGATCGATACATATTATATTCTTTTCTTTATGAAATGAAGTAGTTGTTTTTACAAGTTGAGGTATGAGAAATACTTGAAACTAATATGCAGGTGCTTGTTAAATGACATGTATACTCAATTAACATGCATGAGGATTTCATATGAAAAAATCACATATCTATAAAAATACTCACATGACAATTATATAAGTGATTCTTGGATTGATATCATTAAGTTATCTTATTAAAAAAATATTGCTTTGATCTTGACTATATGTTGCTTTAATAAAAAGTAACAAATAAACAAATATTAGGTATAACGTTAACTATATGAAGATATTTAAATAATCAAAAGAAGATTCATCACCTTAGATGAATTAGAAAAAATATTTCACTTATTCTTAAATAATATTAACTGTGGAATCCTTGTGCAAGATGAAATGATGTTTGAAAATAATTTAAACTCTTATTAAAAAATAAATGATTATGGTGTTAAGAACAAATATGATTTGTGAGAGCATACACATTCCATGCTTTAAGTATACAAAATAAAATATTCTTGATGAATGAATAATAATTATATTAAAAAATTAGTAATTAAAAGTTTAATTTAAACCACTTATGACTTTTTAAATATTTAAAGGATTATGACACATTGCTAGATGTTATTCCTAATTTTAAAATATAAATTAATTAATTTATTAAATTGATAATAATTTAACTTATTAAACTTATTTAATTATATTTTGATTAGAATTATGATTTATATTTGGATCAACATATTAGAAAACTTAATGAATTATACAAATAAAGAACCATAAGTAAGAATTTAAATTAGAACGATTAATCAAGTGTGACTTCATTGTAGATAAGTTTTAAAAATTAAGTACTTAAATATAATTAATACAAAGAATTATAATTCTAGACCTAGAAAAATCAAGTAGGCACTTAATTGTATAAATTTCTAAAACTATCAGAAAATAATATGTGATATAATTCAAGGGGCAAAATGATATTTTACAATTTATTAGGTTATCAAGTTTTCTTTATAAATAGAATAGTATGTCTTATTCTGATCATTTGATAAAGAAAGTTATTATATGATTAAATACATCTAAAAATATAAAAAAAAGCTAGCATTAAAGATATAATAATCACTCTATCTTAAAAGGTTATTAGGAGATCTCTGATAGTGAATGAAGATAGTATTTTTAAAAGGTTCCTAGAAGATCTCTTATTATGAATGAAGATAACATTTTCATATAATCTTTACGCGAACCTTAAATACCCTAAAATTATCTAATAAGACTCTTAGAACTTTTATTTTTTTTAAATTATTGTTGCTGTTTATGTGTTTCAAGAAACCTAACACTACTAATTTAATCTTTTTTTAAGTTGGTGTGACTTATAATTATATATATGTTCATGAATCATAAAATAAAAAGTTTCAATCTAAGAACTCACATCTTCTTAACAAACACATACAACACCACCTTAAAGGCTTCCCTCTTTCTATCTATATATGTGCTAATTTAAATATTAGAATTTTTTACGAGTGTAGTAAAATATTTGTGGGCTAACCTTAATGTTCTAGTTTTTTCACTAACTTGGAAAGATCTAAATTCAATGCGTTTTGCATGAATCTCACTAATAAGTCATCACATGTGAATTATAAACCTCCATCTTAACATAAAAATGCAGAATTTTTTTTAAAATAAAATAATAGTTTCATGTGCATAAATTATTTAATATTTTTTAATATGAGATAGATTACCAATCTTTTTATTTGTTATTATATAAAAAAATATTTTTTTTTAAAAATGAAACAATAAAAAATAAAAATAACATATAAAACTCTGAAAAGGTTCCGTTAACCTATTTTTGAATTAATAGACAATAATTGAAAATGATATTATTTAAGAGTTTATTTATTTTTGTGTTTTAATATATTTTTGAAAAAAATTAAATTTTTTTATTTTTTCTTCTCTTCAAATTTTTTTTATGTTTTAATTTTTTTTTGATATGATAATATTAAAGGTAATTTTTTAAAAATAAAATAAAATAAAAATATTATTTCAACATTATTTCAAAATAAAAAATATTTTGCCGGCATAACAATATCCAAAACAAACGTGGATAGTTTACGTGGGTCTACACAAACTAGTGTAGGGAGTCGGGTAGAGGATAAACAGCCAAAATAATTAAAAAGGGTGAGCGAGTGTGGGAGGAGAAGTTTCCTTTCCCTTGTCCTTGCTTGCAGGCTATCATTTCCCTTCTCTCCCTTTTTTCCCCGTCTTCCTTCGTTCCGGATCTGAATTCTGATCTCCGAACGCTTCCTCCTCTCAATATCGGTACGTTAACTTACAATCTCTCTCTCTCTCTCTCTTAAATTTAATTTGATCCGTCACAGAAACAAGTTTCTCTCCTTGACAAAAAAATAAAATAAAATTGCAGATCATGGCGATGACTAAAAGCTCCTTTAAGATGGAACACCCTCTCGGTTATTTCTCTAAGAAACTCTTAACTTTTATTATGACATCTGTCTTAATTCTGATCAATTGGTTAACCTAGGGTTTTTTTTCTCCCTTAAAGATGAGTTAGGAGAACGGTGTGGAATTATATTATTTAATGATTGTGGTGTTTTGGATGATAGAAAGGAGGCAGGCAGAAGCTGGTCGCATCAGAGACAAATATCCTGATAGAATTCCTGTTTGTTCTTAACCGTTTTATTTTTGTGTGTTTGTTCGTTGCTGCTCGGACGGTCTTCCTTTTAGTTTGACATTTTAACTAATTATCTTGTGTAGGTGATTGTGGAAAGGGCTGAGAAGAGTGATGTCCCTGACATTGACAAGAAAAAGTTAGTCCCCCACCTCTTTGTTACCGTGAACTGCCTGTATTAGGGTTTTTTTTTTTGTCTGGATCATTTTATAAATTCCCTGGTGAAACTCTTTGATGATCGAGGTGCAATTTCATTTTCTGAATCTTTGTTAATTGAATCGCCGCTCCATATTATTTTGAGGGCTTCGGTAAATTAGCCTCTTCAAATAGGACTCGTTGCTATTGACTTAATGATCCCTACAGGACATGGTCAGCGAGAATTAATTATTGGGGATCGGTAGACTGGTAAAACACTAGTAGCCATTGATACCATTCTCAATTAACGAGGGCAAAATGTAATGTGTTTCGTGACTGCTTCAAGGGAAAAGAGATATCAGACAGGATTTCCTTGAGGCTGGACTCTTATATGTGCTTGTGTATTAGCTTCCTAGTTGAATGATAAGAGAAACATAAGTCTCTTTAAATTCTAGGAATTATTAAATGGCTGGAAGGTGCTGAGTGGGACTTTGTGAGGTGTGCTAACTAATATATTTCACATTTTCCATTATCTTCTTGTTTTTTTTTTTTAAATGGAAATTAATTTGTAACTTTGGGATGAGTAGATACTTGGTTCCTGCTGATCTCACTGTTGGCCAATTCGTGTACGTGGTCCGAAAAAGGATCAAGCTCAGTCCAGAGAAGGCTATTTTCATCTTCGTGAAGAATATACTACCACCTACTGGTGAGATAACATTTAATGTATTTTGATTCAGAATGTATGAGCATTGCCTGTTTTACAGACTTCGTGATGTGAAAATTGGTTGCTTTGTCACAGCTGCCATGATGTCAGCAATATACGAAGAAAACAAGGATGAAGATGGATTTCTTTACATGACATACAGCGGTGAAAACACATTTGGGGTCTATTGAAATGTCGCAATGACACATCTGTGTGATCAAGCCACGCAAAAGAAATAAAAAAGGAAGAAGCTAGATTAGTTGTAAATTCTTTACTACCACCCTTGTTTGCTGCTGTCTTCAAGTAAACACTGGTCTCTGACTTTTCTTGTTATCTTCGGATAATTGGCTGTCTATATTAAGTGAACTATTCTCCAATTTGTGTTCGTTACTCTTTATTACAATCTGTGCTGAGTGGATGCCATGCTGTGGGTGATTCATGGCTGGTTGAGTTCGTTATGCATGTGCCTGACTGGTTATTTTGCAATGATGCACGAAGCATGGCGTTAGAAGATGAATGAATGAATAAATAAATGATGCCCTGGGAATTGTGGTTCGAATGATATCCATCTGCTTGCTTTGCTCTGTCAAATCAACCCAAAACGACTCTGCTTTGAGCTGATTCTACTGAAAACTGTCACTAAGACGCCAGCTGGGTTCAATATATGGAAGTTGTCAGAAATTAAGTTTCAAGTATGACATTTGACCGAATAACTTGAGATAAGCTTATTTGAATTTTAAAGAGTTCGAAGGGCATTTTTGCTTATTTGATCAGAAAGATAAAAAAAAAAAAAAAGAAGAGAAATTTGCATCAATGTAAAAAGATAAGGAAAGAATTCTGTAAGTAAATGCATCTCCATTGACTCCTGGATCATGGAAATGACAAGCTATTTTGAATACCATTTTATTACCATCCAGATTCTAGCCTACTTTACTATGCCACACTCGGAGCTCTACAATTTATTTTGAACACTTCCTCTGGTACTGGTTCTTGACCTATTTGATACCCCCACTAAAGTACCGCTTTGCCTTCTGAGCTGCTGCCTTGACCTCCGCCATCTTCTTCCGAGTGTTCCCATTGCTATCCCTTTTCTTTGCCATGAGTCTGTCATCATCTTCTCCATCAAAACGTCCTGAAACCCACCGATCAGCCCAGCTTCATGCCTTGCTTCCCATGCTTGTATCGTCTTCAGCTGTATCATTCGGCAAGTAAAAAATAAGAAGTTAATAATCATTAAAAATATTATTAACAAAACGAAATCCCAAATCTACAAGTTAATGCAGTCATCTCCAGCTTAAATTTATGTTCTGAAAGTGTGAACATCATTGGTACAAATGTTAGTGGCAAGGTTCAGAATAAAAAAGACGATGAAAAAAGAAACAAAGAGGGCATCTTTTTGTAATTATTATTTTTAAAATATATAAATTCATTTTTAAAATATCTCCGAGATAGATTTTTTTCTGTCATTTCAACTAAATATGTTATATGTGTGTGTCTCATTTTTGTTTTAGAACACCAACCAAACACAATGCAAGTAAACTTATTTGGACAAAGCCTAGTTCCCTTTACAAACACAACTATAAACCTATCTCTCAATATATCCAAGAACCTTAAATATATAATAATTCTAAAAAAAAATTCAATTTAGTACACATGAATTTAGTTGTCAATAGAATTTCAATACTATTACGTATTGGTAACAATTTTAATCACAATACAAAGATAAGAATTTAGATTTCTAATAGAAATGCAGATAAAATCATGATAAATATCTAACCCATTAAATTCAAAATCTTTATAGGCATAGAAATTAGGCAAACAAACTGTTAATTTGACAAATAAAAAAATAAATAAAAAGAGAAGAGAAAGATGGAGGAGAGTAGAGAAGAGGAGAGAGAGAGGGAGGAAAAAAAAAGAAAGAAAAGAGAGAGAGAGGGGGAGAGAAAGAGAAGAGAAGAAGTGAGGCAACCTTGATTTGGGCTAGCAAAGATGGAAAACTTGGTTTGGGCCAAGAAGGCCCTACTATAGGCTATTGTATATAGTTCTTTTATAAACTAGCCATGACCAACTTGGGCCGCTACAAACAACCCTATTATAAGCTAGATAAGTTCAATCTAGGCTATTGTAAGCAATCTTTATCTTTTTTTTTAATCTTTTTTATTGTTTTTTAATTATGCCTTATCACTTGCCTTTAAGTCTTTGAAACAAACATGTTTAAAATACTTTAACCAATAAAAATGGGGCAAAAATACTTACCGAAAACAATTTCCTTTTATGACTATGTTTGTATGAAAATGTTCTTGTGGTTGTGCCTAAATAAAGGACTAGTGCTTGCTTTTTGTTGTTGTGTTACCATCTCATGCCCGAGACTTTTATTATTGTTTTTGTAAGATAGAGAAGAGTTTTAATTTTCTTGTTTCTTAAAAGAAGTTGTCTTTAAAGTAAGGATAAAAGTAAATAATATGGTATGTGTATGAGTAGCCACAAAGATTGGAGAAGGATGTTAATCTTTTTGGAGACAAGTAGGTATAGAGGCCTGAAAAATGACACTTGATCTTTTTTATTTCAGAGACAAGTGATCATAGAAATCTAAAGAAGGATCCCTGATCCATTTAGAGATAAATGATCCTAGAGACTTGAAGAACTTTAATAAGGATATGGGTATTTTCATGAAGACATAAAGAAACACTACTATTTTCTATTTGAAAAATTCAAAAGATAATAAATACATACTTTTTTTAAAATTATCTTATCTCCAACAATGCATCATATGGATTTTTTCATGTTTATTTAAGTTGCTTCTTTTTCTTTATAAATTGTTAAAGGTATCCTTTGAAGACTAAAATTTTTACTTTTTTTAGTGTATGACACTCCTTTATGTTGTACCTATGATCATAGTGAAAGAAACATAACTTGTGGAGGTTTTTTGTGTTTGAACCACTTTTCATTGTTAGTGAGTGTTGCATGAAATCCTTTTCCTTGATGATGGTCAATACCACAACATATGTGATGGTAAGAGGTGTGATTAGGAGCTCGAGAAATGTTTAACAATCATAAATGTGCCTTTTGGTGGTCCTTTTTGATGTTTTAACAAGAGACCAGTGGCTTTGTGGAGATTTTACCCTATAGAGATATGGTGACTTTGCCTAGTCACGCTAAATTTCTCTACTTTAATATAATTTTTCATTACTAGTTTTATGTTGATGAACATTTTTGCATGGAGAGTGTACATGCTGATATGATCAAAAAAATAATGTCTTATCTCAAGTGTAGGGTTTCTAAGTAATAAATAACCTGGTAAAACCGAGGTCGAATCATAGGGAGGTGAACTATATAAAATTATAAACAACAAATGAAAAGGAGTTAAAGAGAACTTTTTAGATGTGATATTGATGTAAGAATTAAACAAGGATAAAATAATTGTCAAGGTTAGAGGATCTACTAATGATATTTCAAATAAGTATAGTATAAACTCTTTTTATTACTTAACTAGAAACCACACATAAAGGAGGTTTTCATTGGATTATAAATTATTAACATGATTATATTAATTATCTTATTTGAGTAATGTCAATACTTGTAAATGTGGTTAGGTATTCATGGTGATAACTTATCTTAATAACAAATCAAGTTTCTTTCATAGCACAAGTGTTGATTATTCCATATAGTGGGCGTTTGGCTCTGCGGTAACTGCTATTTTTTTTTCAAACTCAGTGATATAATGTTTGGTTATAAATTATGGTTGCATTTTTGCGCGTGGGACCCACAAAAACTGAGGTGAAACCGTAGGTTTAGCTGAAGCAATTTTTTCGTGCTTCTTCCTGCTGTTGCTTTGAACAATGGAGAGTAAACTCTCCACTGTTCACTCAATTAAGTGAACAGTGGAGATCGAAACTCCACTGTTCACTTAATTAAGTGAATAGTGGAGTCATTCTCCATTGTTCCTATAGTTTTGGGTTAAATATATTCAACCGGATTTGATCCAAAAAAATTAAATTGTATTTTTTTCATTGTGTTTTATTAAAAAATTAGAAGGAGATCGCTTGATGACATAGTATTTGTAGAATTTGATCGCAATCCCATTTTATTCTTGTGAAGTCTGACATAGTTAAAAAAAATTATTTTTATTTTTATTTTTAATTGTGTTTTATTAAAAAAATTAGAAGGAGATCACTTGATGACGTAACATTTGTAAAATTTGATCACAACTTCAATTTTGTTCGTGATGATATCTTATCTAATGTTGTTATGTGCTTAAGAAATAATGAAAAATATAGTCCTTGTTGAATATATTTCGTACGTTATGAAATTGTACATAATTTAATGGAACGATAAAAAATATTTAATATCAATATTATTTATTTCATTATGTAATAACAATAGTTAAATCTACAATATTTAAATTAAAAACTATTAATATAAATAAATATTTTTTAAATTATTTTACAACCTCAGTTTAGAAAACATTCTTTTAACCAAACACATTAAACTATTTTTTGTTAAACCTCAATTTTAACCACAGTTTTAACCAAACATATATTTTTCTAACCAACTTCAACTAAAAGTACTTTTTATAAAAACAACTTTTTTCAAATCACAGTTACAACAACTACCACAATACCAAACACACTCATAATAGGCTATGAAAGTACCACATATTTGTTGTACCAAAGGTTGTACAACACAAATTTAGATTAACCATTTAACAAGTAAGGTATTAATAGTGAGTAAAATAACAAATACAAAACATGTTAGTATCAAACATTAAAGTTCATGTTAAGTTTACACTATACTTATTCTTATACTATTAGTGTAACCTTTTCACCTTGACATAATAGACTTTACCAAACATAATGAAAGAGAGAAACATAAATAAACAAGATATAAGTTAACTAAGTATAGCAAAGAAAATCAAAAGCATAAATAAAAGATTAATATAACATAAAATAAAACTTGAACATTACAAAATACAAAGAGAGAAAGTGATCTTGATTTGAACACTAAGATGTCTAAATGTATGGAAAATGCCTTATTTTATAGGCTAAAATTTAGAACCATTGATTTGATGACTAATTATTGAGTGAGTAGCCACCTCTTGACTTGGAGACAATCATTATTTTTTTATTTGAACAAAACATCATTGGTAACGTCATTATTTGAATAGATTGTCTCTATATTTAAGAATTTGTTTGAGCTTTCCAACAAAATAAGAATGAGATCATTTATACTTCTAGAACTTGAGATATGAGCTGAATGCTGAACAGTATTTGGGCTGGAGGACATATTCTAACTTCTATTTTGTTGCTATAATTTGAACTTGAAAACAACTGTTTTGAATTTGGACTTTAATGAAAGTTTTAGGTCTATGTCTTAACTTTCTATTCATATAAACCAGACCTAAATCCATGTTCTACAACTCCAGTTATGATCGAATAACCGAATGAAATTCCAATTTGAATTGAACCAGCATCTCTTGTTTAAGTTTAACCCTCTCTTTGTTTCATTTTCAATAGTTAAACACATCAATCAATCCTTTAAATTGTGAGATATGCCTGCACTTAAGATGAACATTTACCATAAATTAAAGATATCTTATATTATCATACTTGTTATTATAAAACATGCTTAAGTTAGGGAATTTAATGATATTTTAAGTGCAATATGATAATATAAAACCTTAATAAAAATACACTTTTAAGTACTAATCACACTCTCTAACTAGCTTATTACTAGTCCCTATTAATCAAAGCGTTAAAACAATTTACGACATTCAAAAGCAAGGTATTCATCATTCAACTTCCATTAATGTATCTATATAAACAAACTTTCATTAAATTTATATATCTGCTTCATACTTCTTAAACAAGATATTAATAAACCTTACTTTTATACTCAATATATCAACACATAGTTATGAGGCTTTACTTGTAAGAAAACAAAATTTTGTTCCAATATTTAAGGTTAACTTCTTTAGGTTAAGATTTTTTTTTTTAATATATATATATACATATTACTTAAAACACAATGCATATTTAACCTATATAATGAGCTTTAGGCTAATGACTCCCTGACTAGTTGGTCTTAGGGCATTAGGTGTTGAGACACCCCTTCGAGCTTAGTAACTTAGGTTGCAGATATTGATATGTAGATAATGTAATGTTTAATTCCCTTAAACTTTTTTCCCTTGACCAATGTAATAAGGATGGGGCCAATACTACCAAGTTAGTTGACTTTAGGGTGTTAGGTGTTAAAACACTCTTTTGGGCTTAATTGCTCAGGTTAATGAGGATATGAAACCAAACTTATCTACTTAATTGCTCAGGTTAAGGAGGATATAAAACCAGACTTATCTACATTTTTATTATCATTAATATTATCATTTTTTTTAAAGCATATACTATCCCTTTTTCTTAGCTGTTACCTTTAACAAAAAAATATAAATAATGTAATAATCCAATATGCAACTCATAATTATATGTTAAAGTATGTGTGTGAAAATGAAGATTTAAAAATACTTGTTAAATGAGTATATGAGCAGAATCAAGTGATAACAATACGAGAGTTTGTAAACCTGAATATTTCAAGAAGTGTTATGTTAGACCTTTATAAGAATATTTACTTAGATGCGTCAATATAAGTCCTCCTTACTCTACCATCCTAATAACAATTCTGTCAAATGGTTTTAATAATATCAAAACAATTAGTTAGTTAATTTTTTTTTATATAATGTCAACTATTATCTCTTTACCCCAACCAAAACAAGACATTGTCCTTAATGTTCTAAGGTAGAAAGATAGAGTATAGAAGACATCACTTGCAATAACGAACACTAACAAATATAAAAAATAACAAAACAACATAATAAACTTTTAATAAAACCAAAAGAC